GAGAACTAAGGCAAACAGGGGTTAAGTGACTTGCCCAGGGTCACACAGCTAGAATGTTTCTAAGGTCACATTTGAACTCAGATCTTCTTGACTCTAGGCCCAGTGCTCTATCCACTGTACCACTTTGCTGCTCCTAAAAAGGAGCTTACTAAATAACTATTGCATGAAAATAGCTTGTGCATGTAAGACTTCAGCAAGGAAAGATGTATCTCTGTTCACACAATGCTTGATAGACCCTTATGGAGCATTCCTCTCAAGAAAAAAGGGAATTTCTCAAAAAGGTTCAGATAGGCAGCATTTGCTGAGTGTGGGACCAAAAATCATCATAGACTACCCCCTATCCCAGTGGCTCAATACATTCAGTGACCTCGGGGCCATCTGCCACGAAATAGGAAGCAGCCAGGTATAACGGCTCTTAGAACACTGAATCTGAAGTAAAAAGACCAGAATTTACATTTCTGATCTGACATTAGCTGTGGGACTTTCCCCTCTCTAAGCCTCAGGTTCTTTGTAAAGTGAGTGAATTAGACTAGAGGTTCCTTCTAGTTTAAAGAAGTTGTGATTCTCGGGGCTCCTAAAGTATACCTTGAATATACCTTCCTGACTACCTTCCCAGGATGGGGGAGGATATGATCAAACCCCAGAAAAAAGCAGACATGCAAGGACCACATTCTGCTGTCATGCTACCCTGACTCTTTCCAGGGAAGATCTGCTTGGGCTCCTTACGTGGATAAGGACTCACAGTCATTTGTTCTAAGTCAACATAATTATTAGGATCAGAGGATGCATGATTCAGAGCAGGGAATTTAGAGACCATCTTCTCCAGAGGCTCTTAACATTTTTTTGCATCACAGACCAGCTGGGCAATCTGGTAAAGCCTGTGGACCCCTTTTCCCAGAATAATGTTTTTAAATGCAAACAATAAAATACATATTACAAAGGAAACCAAATATATTAAAATACATTAATTAAAATACAAGTTCACTGGCCCCACACTGAAAAACCCTAATCTGATGTACCACCACCCCCATTTTATAGATGAGAAAACAAAGGCCCAGAAGTTTAGTGACTTGTCTAAGAGACATACAAATAGTAAGTGACAGACAGGCTTTAAACCTAGGACCTCTGGCTTCAAATCCAGGATTCGGCTGTCTAAAAATACCACCAACCATTTTGTTCTCTTCCCTAGATAAATACGGTGTTTAATGACAGCCCTTACATGGGTGGAAATGCTGACTTTCTCCTGAATTGTGGCCACACCTATTCCCTTTTCACTCCTGTGGTTCAGCTGCATTGCCTTTCCTGCTGTGCTAACAGCTATCTGTGTGGAGAATAAATTCCAGGAAATCTGTTGCTGAGATTTTGAGTTAAAGTAAATGTTTCTTAGAAGTTTAATTCATAGGAATTAACTAGCTTCCTCCTCAATAACCACTGCTCCACTCCTCAAAATAAAATACTGGGAGGAAAATATCAGTCACCAGGAAAACCATAAACCTGTGGAACTAGACAAATGTAACATTTGTGGAATGGAAAAAAACAATAGATTTTGTTTTAGAGGACCTGGGGTCTCTTTAGATGACCTAAGGCAAGTCATTTCAGGACCTCAGTGCCTTCATCATCAAGTCAAGGGATTGGATTAGAAGATTTTTCAGATCCCTCTTAGGTCTAAATCTTCCCTTTCCCAGTATGGATTTTAAAACTTTTTTTGGATCATCCTTAGCATTTGTAGCCAGCCTAAGCTCATTCTGAGATTTAGGCCCCTGATGCAATTGAAAAAAAAAAACAGAATCAGATCATGCTTTTGTATTCCTTCTTTATTACCTGCCCTTGTTTTCATCAATTGAGAAGTGAGCTGACCTTCAGATGCACTTGTAGTCAAGCAAAGAATCTGAGAATGCTCCCCTGCCCTCCTTGACTCTCTTAGCCATACATTTGGCTTTCAGGAATCCAGTACAACTATTGTTAAAGAAGATATGATAAAGTCCTGTGTCCATCAGGGCGAGAACCTTAGAATATGAGGTCTCATTCTTGAAGAAACTACTATTTTTCTTCTAATGAAATCATAGAATCCTAGTCAGAAGGGATATAAGAAGTCTATGTGCCAAGGAAAGAAGAAAAGAAGGAAGGAAGGAAGGAGCATTTATTGATGCTTATTCTATATGCCAGGCACTGTACTAAGCACTTTATAAATATTACCTCATTGCAAAATATATTCACTTTTATGTGTATCAATTCCATTAATAGCTAGTTCCCATTTAATCAGGAGGTAGGGGAGAATATGTCCACCTTGCAGACGATCTGGCTTCTGTTTCCTCTTCATCTTTCCACCTCTTAGATGCTTTCAAATTTCCAGCTCTCAGATATTTCTTAACTTCTTTTCATGGGTAAGATAAGTGAAAATGACCATTCTGATTGGTGAGTTTTCTGCTTGTGCCTAAAATGGAACGGTACGATCATTTACAAATAATCCTAGACTCTTCATGCTGGAAGGGATCAGGGAGTGTGTCACAATTCTCCCTGTCACCCATGCCCCCATTTTCTAAATGAGGAAATTGAGGCCAAGGGGAAGTGACTGGTGCATGGTTACACAATGGTGGGGCTTTGGCTAGATAGAGGTCAGGGCTACTGTCTTCCAGGCCAACAATCTTTCTGCAGCGTCACATCCATTCTTCTCCCCCAACTCTTACAGCTAACACAGGGCTAATTCAGTTGAAGAGGCCGTATTGCAAACCTAGCCAGCTTGTTGTGGTAGTATTTTAAAATTCAGACAGAGATAAAGACCACCAGCAAGTGACCAGATTTGTCCCATTCCTGTACCTCTACCTTGGTCACTATTTCCTCGTCTCCCCAGCACGTGCATGTGATAGTTGTCACTTCAAATAAGCATTTGAATTTTGCTTTATTGACCCCTTCAAAAAAATTAAATTGGGGATGACCTTAAAAGCTATTACACTGGAGACCCTGTGTGACATAGAGCCAGTCCATATTCATCATAAATAATGTCAATCCATTAAAAAGTTTTGTGATATTGTATTCCACATATAATGGTCTTGAGAAGACTCCAATAGTTCTAGTACTCTGCACTTTCATTAATCTACCTAGCACCCTTGTCGGGTAGGTAAGCATTGAAACCTAGGCACAGAGAAATCGAGTGGCTTCCCCAGGGTCCCACAGCCCTCGACAGAGAGCCGGGATTTAAAAACTTGAATTCCTTGAAGTTTGGCACTGGCGTGAGTAACCACGGTTTATCACATCAGAAAAGTCATTCTTCCACCTGCCTGTTGGGAGAGCACAGAAGACCCCCAGAAGCCTAGAATCTGCTTTGCCCCTACAGCGTAAAGCAGTGTAAATACCTAATGTCAGCTCTGAGTCATGTGGAGAACAGATAAAGCCAAAATCACATATAAAGACACAATAAAACATTACAAAAGAGAACACGGCTTTCCAACAAGAAAATAATATGCATTTTAAAATATAATATCAAGGATTTAAAACTATTTACATGAGCAACTAGAATAGGTCCCAAGAAGCAATTACAATAAGATAAATTACAGGCTTTCTCCAATATACATGTACAGGACAGGCTTTCATCATTTGGGCCTACTATCACGCAGGGAGCATTTTTTAAAATTCTCTTCATTTAAAAAAAAATGTTTAGTTCTTTCCTAAGATATAATACAGTCTATTAATACCTATACCCATGAGAAAGTCTGTGATGTTAGTTCCTAATGCCTTATAAGAGAGCAGGAAGAAATTACTTAAAGCTATTCAAATGGTAACAGCCTGAAACACAGACTTTTGAATGCCACTGTTGGGAATTGGTAAAAATAAACCAGCCTAAACTCTAACATGAAAGGTTCCTGTCTATCCGCCCAAGGGGCCGATGCCACAAAAATAAAGGAAGTGGTGCTATCCAGATGGGGTCCTCAATGGTGGTTATACATATGTGTCTATCAGGAAATTCTGTGCTACTGTCGCAACCACCGTATCATCAAAATAACCTTCCATTCTAATTCTCCATCATAGCACGGGGGCATCCTCTGGGCTCTGGAGTGTTCCCCTGTGCGGAGCCTTCCCACAGCCCACTGATGACCTAACTCTGTGTTGTCTAAAGATGAGCTGAGCCAAGTATGGAGGCGGCCCATCACCGAATGGGGTGCCACTAAGCAGAGGAATTTTTAAGGCACAGAGGGGTCAGGATCTGCATGGAGGAGGTACCCACATAGATGAACTATCAATCTATAAAGAACAGCAGTAATTAATAATAATAAATAGCTCACATTGAAATAACACATTATGGATTATAAAGTGCCTTACATACATTATCTAATTTGATCCTCACATCAGCCCTGTGAAGGAGACAGGGCAGGGCAGTGATCATCATCATCATCCCCATTATCTAGATGAGGACAGAGCCAAGGTTCCAGCGCAGATATTCCAATATTCACCCCAATCCACCTCTGAAAAAATGTGCCAAACTGCAGTTTTTCTCTCATCAGCAGCCTGTGCCTTCAGCCTCCAGTGACTATCCTCAAAGGATTATTGGTGAGTTGCTAGTGGCACTTTCTGTCCTTTTTTATTATTTTTTTTAAAACTGAAACAGCTCAGATACATGTTATTGGCTTTTGAAGGGTTTTTCCCTGCAGTCACTAGGGACTTTTCCATCAGAGAGAAATGAAGGGGAAAAAAACATCACCAAACCTAGTACCTCCAGGCTGGAGCTCCAGCCCTGCTTTCAGGATGATTCCACACACAGACAGCAAGAAGGGCATGGATCCAAGGGCCAAAGCTGCTGTGTCTCACTTGGTTTCCATCATACTATTTAACATTTTCTGGGCACTTACTGCTATGAGCTAAATGCTGTCTCCCTATGCATGGTCATTCAGCTTTGGGGCATGCCCCCCTGTTCCATCATAGGAATTTGTGCTAAAAGGGGCTTCAGAGATCACCTAGTCCAATGCCTTCATGTTAGAGATGAAAAAACTGAGGCCCAGAGAAGGTGATTAACTTGCCCAGGGCTGCACAGCCCAGCAAAAATTCAAACCCAGTGCTCTAACACCAGCTCTAGGAAGTATTCTTCCAGCTTTACCACACTGCCTCTCTCCAAGGGGACACAGAGATCCAGGGAAAAGAAACTAATTTGGGGGTTCCCATTATCCCAACATTGATCCTCTGACCACCATGTTACAAGCTGGAAAAAAAAAATTCAGCCCATGGTGTACCACCACCATGACCTGCTTGTCTGTGTCGGAGCAAGGTCTCCAGGAGGTGCCTGGTCTGAGTGCAAGGTGCCACAGCTGGACCCAAAGGTGGCACACCCCAAAGATGAGAACACAGAGCCCTCCCAGAAGTGCCCGGAAGCCCCAACAAGGCAGCCCTCCATTGGCTCTCGACAGGCTGGTCACTGATGGGCCCCTTTTTGCTTCTGCTCCAGTTCCTGCAGACGGTCCTCCCGGGTCTGTGCATGCTGGGCACCCACTTTGTGCGCCGTCTCGGTGGCAGTGATATCAATCTGGGCATAGCGGGTGGCTCCAGCCCCTGAAAACAAGAGCTTTCATTAATTCCCAGAGCACACCCTCTCAAGGGACATGCATGGCAGAGGCTCCCACCCATTGGGAGGCTCCCTAGTGGGGTCCAGGCCACTAGGTGGCCATGATGCCTTTGGGGTATCTCCCACTAAGAGGAGCCTTTGTCTCCTCTGGCTCAAGTACAAACAGAGGTCTAATCGAGGTGCCAAGGAAAGCCCGAAATAATCCTGCCTCCTTGTAAGATGACAGGCGCCAGCTGGAGGCTCAAGGCCTTAGAGATGATATGGTCCAGCATTCTCACTCAGCATGGAAGAAGACGCTATGGCTAAAGGTGAGGATGACTTACCCAAGATCACATAGCATGTAAGGAGCAGAGTTGGGATTCAAATCCAAGCATTCTGCATCCAAAGCTATCCCAAAGTCAGGTTTCAGTTAAAGCTAGGCAGTATACTTATCGGGCAGCTAGGTGGTAGAATGCATAGAGTGCCAGGCCTGGAGTCAAGAAGACTCATCTTCCCTGAGTTCAGATCTGGCCTCAGACACTTACTAGATGTGTGACCCTGGACAAGTTGCTTAACCCTTTTTGCCTCAGTTTCCTCATCTGTAAAATGAGCTGGAGAAGGAAATGGCAAACAAATCTGGTATTCTTGTCAAGAAAACCCCCAACAGGGTCATGACTGAAATGACTGAACAACAACAACAAAAAGTATACTGATTAGCTGCTTTATATGAATTACTTTATGCTCAATTCACTTACTGAGTGTTTGGATCTGAAACAGGAAGAATTTAGGACAGAACTGAAGAAATTCCCAACTCTGAAAACTGTGAAACAGATAAACACATTACCAAAGAAGGCTGTCCCTTCTCTTTTTCTTCTGGAGATATAAGAAGGGAATAGAAAATTATCTTTTAGGAATGACTTGAGTACAGTCCTTCCCAGAGGCAGGGGTGTGGAATAGATGAGAATGAGAAGGAGGTGAGCCAGGCATCATCCAAATAGCCCAACCCTTGCATTTTTCATTTGGGAAAACCAAGGCCCAGAGAGGGATGATTTGCCCAAGGTCAGATGGCCAACAAGTGGCAAAACTGTATAGTGACTTTAAGTCCTACACACTTTCTGTTCCTCTAGAGAACCTGATTTCTCACTTGAGGCATCTTGAAAATGGGTGGCCTGGGATGGTGGTGAGATGGGCATCATGGAAACAAATTTCTGGAGCTGGCAACCATGTCCAGGTGGGACCTCTTCCCAAATGTGGTACAAGCCAAGTGTACTTGGAGATGACACAGAGAAGGGGCAGCACTGTTGGCATCTCTCCCTACCTCTTATTCCTGGGCTAGGTCCCTGAAGCTCCAATTCCATGTAGTGAAGCTGCTTCTTGGAAGTGGGACTGACGGGAATATTCACATAGGTAGGGGTCTCGCTGCGTGGTCTTTCTCCTGTAACAGGTGGGCAAGGGGGAAGACAAGAAGTAGATGGATAAGCAAACGCAAACCATTATGCACAGAACGTTTCCGAGAGAGAGTATTAACAAATGGGGAATCAGGGAAAGTCATTTCTAGGTGGCTGCATTTAGACTGAGCCTTGAGAAGGGCTGGAGGTTCCCCAAGGTGAAGCATGCAAAGGCGTGCAGGAGATAGGTGATACGATACTAAATATAGGAAATGGCAAGTAGAAATGGCCAGTTTGGCCGGAATGGAGGAGTGTATAAGGGAGAGGGATGTGTAATCAGCCTGGAATGATAAGCTGGAGCAAATGGGATGCCAAACAGGGCATCCTAGAGGCAACAGGGAGCCACTGATGCTTACTGAGCCGGGGAGTGATGTAATCTGACCTGTGTTCTAGGAATGCCCATCTGGTAGCTTTGTGAAAGATGGATTGCAGAGGTAAAGGGGCTGGACACAGCGAGATCAATTAGGATCAATAGATCCTATTGGTAGGGAGAGGCGACAGGAGCCTGCGTTAGGATGGTGGCTGTGTGAATGGAGAGGGTAAGTATGTGAGAGATGCTGGGACTGGAGAGTCGCCAGACCTGACAAGTGACTGGGTGAGAGAGGGGAGGGAGTGAGGGAAGAGTCAAGGATGATTCCTAAGTTTTGAACTTAGGGGACTGAAAGGTTGCTGGTACACTCAATAGAAGTGAGAAATTCAGGAGGAAGAGGGACTTAGGGGAAAAGAAACCACGTTCTGTTTTGGACATGTTGCGTTGGAGATGCCCCTGCGACTATAACAATGGCCTCTTGTCAGTATCCCTCCTTCCAGCCTCTCTCATCTCCAACCCATCCTCCCCACAGCCGCCAAAATAACCTTCCTCAGCACAGGTCTGCACTTGAATCTTCTGTGGCCCTGAGGATAAAATATAAACTCTTCCATTTGGCCTTTAAAGCCCTGTGAAATCTGACTTCAACCTGCTTTCCCAGGCTCATTTTCAGATTCCTCTCCCTCCATCCACTGCCATTCCAGCCAAACTGAACTTCTGCCTAACCCCAGGACTCATCTCTCCATCTCTCACCTCTGCATCTTTGCCCAGGCTGCCCACATGCCTGAAACGCATTCCCCCCCTTCGCTCTGCTTCTTACCACCTTTTGCTTCCTTGAAGGCTCAGGTCATGGTCTACCTTTTATGGGAAACCTGTCCTGATTCTGTTGTTAAATAATGCTGTCTCCTCAGATTATCTTGTATTTTCTTATTTAGGTATCTATTGTATCTTCTTCTCCTCTCCCCCGACCCCTATAATGTATATGTGCCTTGAATCTATTAATAAACATTTATTAAGCTCCTACTATGTGCCAGGCACTGTACTAAGCACTTTACAATTATTATCTCACTGGATCCTCACGACAACCCTGGGAGGTAGATGTTTTTGTGGCAAACAGAGCTAAGTGACTGGCCCAGGGTCACAAAGCTAGTAAATGTCTGAGGCAAGATTTGAATTCAAGTCTTCCTGGCTCCAGACCCAGCACTCTACCTACTGCACTGCTTAGCTTTTAAAAAGAAAAATAATTCACCCATTTCTAAGTTGTGCCTTTAAGCACCTTGAGAGATTTTCCAAAATGTCCCTAAGAGCAAAGAATACACTCATCATTACAAACATTTTGCTAATTCTGCATGTTTGGATAGAATTATCAACCAATCTCTTTGGCCATCACATTCTTCCTAAACCCTCTGTGTCAATTAGTTTGAAGGAAAACTCATCTCGTGTCTTAGGATTAGCAATTTATAGAGCACTTTTTGTCCCGAGACCACAAAGCTCCGTCATATACATCATCCCATTCACGATGAGTCTGCCAGAACAGAAGGACTGCTTTTAAAAATTGTTCTGTATTGGGCATGGGGTCCTCTCAGCAGCCATTATAAACTGAGAGAATGGATTGTGAGCCTCATGGATCGTGACAGTTCAAACAGTCCCTATACAAAAGAACTATTGGACTCCACGGCGGATGTGTGTGTATGTATACACACATATACATATACACACACACACAAACACACACACGTGTCCCAGTGGCCTTTCTCTTAGCCTGGGAGGCAACAGCAGGGTGGAGCAGAAAGACCCCTGAAATCTTGGGTACAACGTTCCCAGTCCAAACCACCCTCAGATTCCTACATCTGTAGTATTTTCACCAACCTGCCCAATTACTGATGCTCTCGATGATGACTCTGACACTCTGCTAACGCTTCCTGCATCTATGCTGATGTATTCGGTAACTTGCTATTATTGGGAGACAGAGAAAGGTAGGGTTTTATGTAAAATAATCATAATAATGATGATAATAAGGTCCCATTTAGCTCTTCCATTCTAGGCCCCAAGACCTTCTAGTATTAATATTTTGTGTTCTATAGTTCTTTCCACCACAGAATATTTTATGTTTTGTGTTACAAGGTCCCTTGGGCTCTGTGGCCTAGGGACCTGTCCTGCTCTGATATTTTATGAATTTAGGCACAAATCTGAATATTCCATTACTAGAACACCTCATAGGAATTCACTCTACTTTATTGCTTATTTTCTTCTCCTCAGTCTAAGACAAAGCATTAAAAAAAAAAATACACTGATCGCAAAACAAGAGGAGCCTGCAGCAGACAAAGAACCAGCCCCTGTCAAATGTCTTGTCAATTAAGTTCCGTCTCCAGCCCCTTGGCTTGCTGACAACATCGCTGTTCTTTAATTACAGCAGGTTCTCCATTGATCTAGGTCGTTCTCTGCCCTTGCTCCTCTAGCTCTGATATTCAGGTCCACAACTCAATTCATCTGTGTGCCCCCCAAGCCAGGAGGGCAATGCCAGAGGTGAGACAGCACTCCCAGTAATAGAAAGGAACAAAAATGCTAACTCTGGACAGCATTCCAAACCCACGGCTTCCCTGATCCCATGCTGGGAAAGGATCTCATTACTTACCATCTCTAATCTTCCCCTGATGTCCAGCCAGGTGTCTGATATGCTGCACAGACCTCGAACTGGAATCAAAGTCAGACTCTTCCCACATCAAAAGCAACCAAAGCTCTGTCACTGAAGTTCAGCTATTTCTGAGACTCTACTGTCTGCTCCCTGGGACTCCTGTCCCCCCACTCCAGACTAATGTTCCCAAGGGATGTTAGCTCTCACCTCCACCTCACTTTGTCTGTAGGAACAGGAGTTTTCACTTTGCTTGGATAGAGAGGTACAGAGGCAGGATGGGACAGTCTCTAGAACTGGAGCCAGGCAAGCCAGGCTCAAAGTCCAGCCCTGCTACCAATCATGCCACAAATGAGACTTGTCATTTTGCCTATAGCAAAAAGTTTTAGGGTTGATATAGACAAGAGAGAAGAATAACATTTTAGGACCCAGGACCCCACACTATCTTTTAATTCTTGGGGCTGATTGAACTCAATCCAATACAACAAATGTTTCCCAAGAATATTCCTTGTGAAAGGACCAGGAGATAACAATTGTGTCCCATAGGCTGGGACACCAATTCTGCAAGATTTATTAAACATACTCTATGTGCTAGGCACTGTTGTTGTTGCCGCTGTTGTTTGTTCTTCATTCTCAAAGAGCACCATGACGTCATGGAGGTGATGCCACGACATGCCGGTGAATCAGATTTAAGTGAGGCAGGGCTGTGCAAAGTCACCAGCCTCACTCTCTCCTCCAGAGTCATCTGGGTCCAGTGGCAAGCTATAGATCAAGATGACTGGAGATGGTCCTAGATGTGGTGGGGCAAGGAATAGAAAGACCAAAATGAAAGTTCCTCCTCTTAGGAAACTTAGATAGTCTACCTCTCTGAGCTCCAGCCAGAGTGGTGAACTCAGCACCTCACTCACGTCTTTGTTCACTCTCTTCCCTGGACCTGAAATGACCTCCTTGTCTTACCCTCCCTGACTGAATACTTTTTCATTCCTAAATTCAAATTTCATTCCTCCAACTCAAATGCAGCCACCTCTGGGAAGTCTTCCCTGATTCCCTATATTCAGAAAGATCTTTCTCCTTAGGCCTCACAAAGAACTTTTTATTTTGCACCTCTCTAAAGTACTTAGTTCAGTTGTTTGTTTTTTCGTTTGTTTGTTTTTCAAGTTGTCTGACTCTTGACGTGACTCTATTTGGGGTTTTCTTGACAAAAATACTGGAATGGTTTCCTTCTCCAGCTCATTTTACAGATGAGGAAACAGAGGTAAGCAGGGTTAAATGACTTGCCCAGGATCACACAGCTAGTAAGTGTCTGAAGCTGGATTTGAACTCTTCCTGAGTCCAGAACCAGCACTCTAGCCACTGCGCCACCTAGCCGCCCAACATATTTAACATAGCATCATATACTGCTGTTTCTTTGTTTGAATCTTATCCTCTTACTCAACTGTAAGATCCATTGAGGGTGCCTAAACTTCCCATCTCTTTAGACACCAAACACAGGGCTTTGAAGACCAGCTGAGTGGATGACCTAGTCTCTGCCTTCCTCCAGAAGCTCCTCACCCAAGCAAAACTGGTTTACAAACCAATGAACAAGGCAACTTGTTCAACATTGAGTGAAATTTTTGAGCCTGGGGTTATGGTAGGTTTGAGATTGAGAAAGAGGAAAACTATTTTGGAATTTTCATTTTGATTTCAGCAACTTGATATATCTCTGAACTAGGACTAGAGTTAAAGTGTACAAGAAATATGATCTCCATCCTCTGTCAAATGGCTATAGCCCTGAGAGCATGGCCCTCACAACTTAGCACTTAATGACATCATGTTTTGTCTCCCGGAAGAGATTATGAAACTGCTTTGTAATCCAAAATCATTGTACAGATCTAAGTGGTAGAAAGGGAGCAGGATGGGAAGTCAGAAGACCCAGCTTGAAGTTCTGGCTTGGCTGCCTGCTAACCCATGTGACCTTGGGCAAGTCTTTTTCATTTCTCTTGGCCTCAGTTATTTATTTGTCTGTAAAATGATGGAGTTGAACTAAATGTTCTCTAAGGTTCTTGCCA